CGCTACCACTTGAGCCACATCCTCAGCCCACAAAGTGATTCTTAAATTTGGACTGAATAAGCCAGGTGTAGTGGAACACACCTGTAATCCCAGCTACTTGGGAGCCTAAGGGAGGAGGATCATAAGTTCAAGACCAGTCTCAGCAACTTAGAGAAACCCTGTCTCAAAGAGTAAAAAGGGGTGGGGATGAAGCTCAGTGGTAGAGCATGCAGAAGGCCTTGGGTTCAAGCACCAGTACTGCAAAAGAAAAAAAAAAGAATTTGTTCTTTTGTTCTATTAAATTGTATTACAAGTACAGTGTTTGGTATTTCCTACAGCATTACAGTTTTACTTGGACAGTCTTTCATTTTAAGTGCTAAATTTCCATAATTGAAAGCTAAGTTTTGGTAGAGAGGTGTTTTATAAACCATCTGGATATCACTATTTTGATATGATATATTAAGTATGGTGATCATAATTTGTGAACTCCAAACAAAGGCATGAATCCTAACAGCAGCACAGAAAATTGGCATTACCCCTGTTTCCAGAAAACCCAGTGTCTGCTTATCATATTAGGTAGCTCTGTTAATACCTATAAGAACACACAAGTCACGAGTACATCTCGGTGAACTCACAACATGAACACACAGTAAACAACACTTAGATCAAGTCAAAGGAGATGTACCTACATCCTGAAAGCTTCTTGTGCCTCTCTTCTAGGTAGGAGCTCCTCCTCCACCCCTACACTCACTCCCACCAATTCTAATTACAGTAGATAGATAAGTTTTGCCTGTTTTTGAGCTTTTGTAAGTGGAGTCATACAGCATGTTCTCTTCTGAATCTGGGTTTGGTTTGGTTTGGTTTTTCAGTGCTGGGTATCAAACCTATGGCTTTGCACATGCTAGGCAAGTACTGTACCACTGAGCTATACCCCCAGCCCTATTTTCTTTTTTTAATTTATATGAGAAATTCATCCATATTGTTATAGTTAGTTATAATTAATTTATTCTCATTGTTATAGAGTATTTCTTTGGAATAACACAATTTATTCTTTCATGTTGGTTTTCCATTCAGATAGTCTTCAGTTTGGGAGGCATTACAACAGCTTTTATGAACCCTCTTATGCATGTCTTCACATGCCTGTATTATGTAGCTAATATTGGAAATGCTGATCATAGGGTATGGATATTTCAACTTTAGCAAGATACTCTAAAGATTTTTACAAAGTGATTATGTTAATTTACATTCCCCCAACATGTGACAGATTTTTTGTCTCTAATTCTTTTCACCATTTTAGCTGTTCTGGAGAGTGTGTAGTCGGAACACACTGTGATTTTAATATATATTTCCCTGATGACCGCTGAAGTTGAGCACCCTTTTTTACATTATTTGGCTATCTTGTGAAATGCTTACTTGTCTTTTTTCCCAGTAGAACTAGAACATCTGCATATTCCCCCACTTTACATTGTTTGGGGCAGGGTGGGCGCTTGCTCTATGGCAACAGATACACAGTAGAAGGAAAACGAGGTAGATACAAAGAAGTCTCTCACCATGGTGTCTGTGACTTGAGGAGAGTTACCTCTCAACTCAAACCCACTTATCCCTTAACCCAACTATGAAGATAAACTTACTTCATCCCCAACTTAGACTGCCTCAATGCTGCCTTTCTAATCTGTTACATACATATAACCTGTATCTTTTTCAGCAACTGATTTTTGTTCCTGCAAAATTGTGCATCCTCCTGCCTCAGCCTCCCAAGTTGCTGGGCCAGGTGTGTGCCACTGCGCCTAGCTAGACACTTTCTGTCATTCATCAGGACAATTTTGTGTCTTTGAGGTCACCAACACCATATAACATAGCTCAGAACAAATTGCATGATGTCATACCACCTGAATTAAGGAGTACACCTTCTTGGGGTAGGACAATTCAGGAGACCTGGGTTAGCAGAAGGAAATGTTGTCCCATCTGCCATTGTCACATGGAGAGGCAAACCTTGGGTCTGTGTTACAGGGAGGGATCTCATCCACCTATAAGTCTCCATTCTTTTCTTGAGCTTGGATGTTGTTCCTCTTGCTGGTTTGTCTATAAGTGTACTCTCAGGGTCAGTGTGGGATAGTTCTGCTCATAGTACTCTATATAACATCAGCTGCAGGATTTCTTGAAGAGAACCTCAGCTCTAAAGCTATAAACTTAACATGGGACAGAATTTTTCTCACCTTTACCAGTTCTTGAAATGTGAAATTTCTAGGACAAGTGTTTAGACCAGTAGAGATTTAAAGAATAAATGTTCTAGTGATTACAACTCCCTTTCAGCATTTGTAATTTGCCATGTGATTTGCCAAAAGCAAATATAATTTAGGTACTGAAAATTAAATGTTTTAAGTGTTTTTAAAGAGTAGATTTTAGTAGAATATGAGATTTGATAGGTTATGTTTATTTACTATATAACTCTTAGTTTTTGATCATATAACTAAATAATTATAGTTTTATTAGTAGTAGAATTGTAAAATAAATGTTGACAAGTTTGGTTTTTTTGTATTAAAAAGTTAATGATTAAAATTTGCAGAAGATACTATGCAAATTTAGCTGGCATTGTGGTGCACATCTGTGATCCCAGCTACTTGGGAGGCTAGAGGATTGCAAGTGTGAGGACATCCTTGGCTACTTAGCAAGATCCTGTTTCAAAATTAAAAAAAAAAATTTAAAAGGGCTGGGTATGTAGCTCAGTGTTCAATCCCTAGTACTTAGGGGAAGAAAAAGAGGAAACTATACAGATCTGCTTAATAAATAACATTTGAATTTTTTCTTCTGGAAATATTAGCAAGAAGGCTCGCTTTGTGCTCAACATTGCTTGAATAATCTATTGCAAGGAGAATATTTTAGCCCTGTGGAATTATCCTCCATCGCACATCAACTGGATGAAGAAGAAAGGATGAGAATGGCAGAAGGAGGAGTTACTAGTGAAGATTATCGCACATTTTTACAGGTACTGATTTTAAATTCACTTAAGTCATATTTTTTAAAAATGTGGGTACTGTTGAGAAGAGGATGAGCCTTTCTTCCTGTAGGAATCTGACTTGCTAATTATAACTCTGCTGTTGATTTTGTAAATGGTAATGCACATGTTATTTTAAATTATGCACACTAATGATAATTTTTTTCCTCCCTACCTTCCTCTTCAACTATCCATAAAAATGAACAGCAGCCTTCTGGAAATATGGATGACAGTGGCTTTTTTTCTATTCAGGTAAGTAGTTGCGAGCATGTACAAAGTGCTGTCTGCTTCCCATGCACATTAAACTCAGTTAATGGTTTAGGGAGGATCTTTTCACAGCCTTTTATAATCACTGTAATGATAGGACTTTCAGAAATCCCTCCAGTAGATTGTCCACAGAGATTTTTATATAGATAAGTTTGAACACAAAGGTTATATAATAATCACGTTTTTTCTTTCCACATTTTTTTGTTGGCACGTTATTGTATATATTGATGGAATTTGTTGGTACATATTCATAGATGCAAACAATATAACAATATAATTTGGCCAGTATTGCTCCC